GAACCAAGGGGGGTCATAATTGAACCAAATAAAACTTTTGGGGCAAAATCAATAATTGGCTCAAACTTTAGGAACCAAGACATTATTTCAGCTTATTCATTAATTTAGTTTTAGGCAGGCACTGGCAAGAACCAACACCCATACCTCTGCTTCATCCCTGGTCATCCCTTCTTTCCATGCTTGGTCAAAAAACCCATACAAGTAACTTGAGCCAGAACCTGTCAAACACATCATATAAACCATAGCTGGATTAAAAATATTCTAAGCATCCAACCAAAAATCAATACTTGACATGGAAAAGGAATTAAAGGAAGATGTATACAATATGAAAAACGCCACACACAAAAATATCATACACAATTGTGAACAAGGATGTTTCAACTTGATATATATATATATATATAAAAGACATGCAAAACGATAGATTCAAACATTCAAAAGGCAAGAATTTCAAAACCAACAATCTCTGCCAGAAAAGTCCATCACACGAGTGTGATCAGCAATACATAAAATACACTTCAGTAAGGGATCATACTATCAGAATTTTCATATTATGAACTACAATTGAAATAGCTTCAACTATCATGAACTAAACAAGTAACTATACCATTTCAAATGATGATAATGAATCAAGGTATAACAGGTGCCATGTGTGTAACTGCATAAGCACATGCATGCACAGATAGTGATGATAATTGCATTCAATCACAATGCTAATGCTAAACTACCTCCAATAGCAAAAGGTTGCTGTACTATCGTTCCCCCCAAAGGAATTCCATAAATTTGTCCCCCTTCATATTTGTCCCATCCACCAACAATTAAGCCAGTCTCTAAAAAGTTCTGTCAATGAAAATAGATTTTCAGTAAAACCTGATGGATAAAACAGCTTATGGATTCAAGATGCTATATGAAGGTAAGAACTTCATCAATGTAACGTAAAGTTGTTTCAATACTATAAATACGTTTCCAACTCATCTAGGTGCCCCAAATCCTTATTGCTTAGGCAGTTATGCTATAGTTAATCGGCACTTACAGATAAATACTGCAAAAAGATAACAGCTATCGTCAAGTGCATTGTTTTCAAGAATTTCTCTATTACTTCATCCGAAACTTAACACATTGTCTGACATCACAATTTCTATCACAATGTCACAAGAAATGTAATAATCAGATTATTCATTATACTCAATAACATTATGAGGCAGCATTTATGACTGTAATAAACATCATTCTAAATATCAGGAAAGGCACTTGATCACGTGTTTTTCCCCATTGAATCATAAAACAGCATCCCACACACCTCAAGGAAAAACACGCTCGCATGCATGCAACAGCAGCAGCAACAACAGAAGGCCAGATGCCTTCTTGTAAGAAACATAAAATCTTTGAACAAAAATGAATGCAAGAGAGTCAAAATAATTCATTGGCAATATGAATATTATATTGTAAATTTCTTATGAAGGAAGAAAAATTTTGATCCACTAATGGCAGCAATCAGCCAAGTCAAATCTTGCAAGAAACTCAGCAATATAGTTCCAAAAAATAATAATAATAAAAAACTTAAAATTGAACCTTGTTGTTATAAGATAGAAGGCGGACAAGGTTAGCAGCCACTTTGACAGTAGCTGGTTGTCCAAGCTGTATTCTGTACAGAAAGGAAACTAGTGATGAGAAAACCTTGGCTAGACTTGAACAAAATTGAAATAAGCAAAGGTTCGGCAATCAATAAAAACAATAACATAAGAGTATATCAGTTTGAGGAACAATGCATAAAACATACGTTAAAAATAACAACACTAATAACAGCCTGAGACTCCAAGAGTGCAAGAGTAACGTTATCCAACTTTAAAGGAAACATTTCATGCAATAAGAAACTCAAACAGGCCATAGAGGAAAGGAGCCTCCAAAGCAGCTAACTTAAATAATGTTTGTTAATCCATATAACCCAGGAAGCCAAGACTTTATTTCAAATTTCACAATATTCTATTAGTATAATAGGAGTTAGGGCCACTGACGTGTGTTGGTGAAGGAAGTAGCGGACATAATCAGACACTATCTGCGAATCTGCAGCCTGAAAAAATATATATACATATATATATAAATATATAAATCATTCTTCAAGAATGAAGAACCAGAATCATAATTAGAAATTAGAACGAAAAGAATGAGAGAAGATAACACTGGATCACTCAATTCCATATCTTCCCCCAGATGTTAACATCTATAAACTTAAGGTCCTGGGGCAAAGCATAAAAAGTAGAAACAGATTGTATAGAATAATGAGGATCTAAGACATTATTAACATTCTTGAATTACCAAAATCACAGTCATCCACCAACATATCAATTTTATCAAAGCCTTGCCTAGGTAAAACTGGTTAATCATAGTGCTAAACCCTCAAAATGTTTAAATCGCATCTGCTTGATAAGAATCATATGGTTGTTCAATAATAATATGACGAGCGCATAGCTTTTGTAAACAACCATATAATTCCTGTCACCTTATTGTTAGAAAATATACACTTGTTGCGTCTTGTTCAGTGAATTTGATAGTAAGAATATATGAAACCGCATACAGTCCAGTCTTGATTGAACACAGCAAACCAAGTAGAATCCAAGAAGAAGGAGTAAATGAAGCAAAACGTAAATAACAAATCAACCAACAAAAATAAATAGTAAGAGAGGTGAAATAGGAAGAATGCTACCGATCCAGAGCGACAAACATAGACATTATCTGTCAGTTGTGTGATTTTGTCAGAAGCCCGATTAGCAACGTATACTCCTGCAGAAGGGGTGGTAAGAAATGGAAGGAACACTCAGCCCCAAAAATGACAAGTGAAGGAAAACTCATATTAAGAACAAAATTTTCAAGTGTTTATTAAAAGAGAAATGGGGAAAAAAAATTCCCCTGATTAGCTACTATATCGCAATCGATGGAAAAAGGCCCGACAGGGGCAAAGGGAGAACGTATCGCTGCAAACATCAGGCAAAATTCATGACAAGTTAAGGATACTATGAACATGAATTTGAATTTATAGCTGGGCAACCCCAGATTCTCAGACAAGCCATCATATCAACCCCAAACTCAACTAATTTGCTTACCGCTACTGCAACTAAAAAATAGAATATGAAGATTTAAAAAAAAATGCAGTGCATGAGCGTACCGGTGCTGGTTCGGGAGTCAGCGCCGAGAACAACGCCACCATTGTAAGTGACACCGACGATTGTCGTCCCCATGGAATGAGGGGCGTTGAAATCTAGGCTGTGATCCATGCTTAGCCCCAGAGCAACAGACGAAGAAGAAGAATAAGAGGTTAAACCGCGCGAAGCCCTAACACCAAGACTGAGATCGAGACGCCACTCTCCAGAAACGATGATAACAGCAAAAGGAGCAAAACAAAACCCCATTCATTGTCATAGGGCCTTAACTTGCTGTCCAAGTTTAGGGCAAAAAGAAAAAGAAAAAGACTTTTCCTTCTAAATAATTAAATAGATGGATAGATTGAGGGCTTGATTATTTAATTTTTAAAAATAAAAAAATTATTTAGATAAGTATTTTTTATTTAATTTTTAAGTTATTTTGTTTTATTTTTAAAATTTTTAAAATATTTTATATTTGATTATTTAAAATTTTATTTTTTTTTACTATCATCAACTACTTATAACCATTATTATGAATCTATTTTTTTAATTTTAAAATTATTTTTAAATTAACATAACTAAATGGATTTCATTTTATTTTATTTTAAAAAATAATTTTAAAAACTATATTATAAGACATTTTTTAAAAATAAAAAATAGAGATAGAAACAAAACATGTCTTAACTTTGACCACGTTGTCTGTTTTTCTGTGCTTTTAATAACATTGAGTTGGAAGTAATCTGGAATTGATGGGTCTGATTATTAAGAATTTAATTTATAACTAACAAAAGGAAATGGAGAGGTGATTTTAGTGAGTTCAATTATAAAAAAATAAATTTTATTAAACACTCTCTACTGCTATAACACTCTCTAATCTTCTTAAAAACAAGAGCTGATGGTTACTTGAATGAGATGCGCTCTCCAGTTTCAATGGTAAGACATTTTTTTAAGCCAAACTTAGTTTAAAATATGAGACATTTACAAAATTATTTTATCTAGATTTACTCTTATATTGATTAATATGGGCATCAAAAATATGATCTAATTAAATATTTGTCTCTCATCATAATAAATGGTTATAGATAAAAAAAAAGGAAAAACATTTTTTCATAAAAAAAAATTTACTTTTACTTATGGGTAAAAAATAATTGAAAATATCAACTTAGATGGAGTAATATGATAACAAATTCTCAAAAATCTTTACTCGTTGTTGCTTCACCCGTTTCGTACTGAAGCATTTTTATCACGCGTACCTCCACAAAAAATAGTTAACTGGCTGAGCTAATTTTATCATTATTTAATACCAATTTTTAATATTTATTTCAATGATCATGTTTAAAACAAGTAATTTTAACATAATCCCAAGAGCATTTTTTTTTTTTTAATCAATACATGCTTTGCTTGTGCGTGTCAAGGAAAAAAAGTACTAATGATATAGTTTGATATAAATTTAAAAAAAAATACAATCTTTAATTCCTATAATTTTATCGAGTTTTACTTTTAATTTTTATAATTTTTTTTAATATTTTTAATTTTTAGAGAGACTAAAGCCATTGAAAAGATAAAAACTATAAAAATATATAAAATAAAAGTCACTCAATTTTTTTAAAACTATAAAAATTAAAAATATTAAAAAAACTATAAGACTAAAAATAAAACCTTATGAAACTATACGGGTTAAAAATTATTTTCCTCAAATTTTATTGCATATATTAATTATACACAGATTAATAAAAATCATCTATTGGATGTTAAATCAGTCGTAAAACCATTTGTAAAACATGAATTGACACATTAGTCTTATTACTGTTGATACAATATTCGGTGTGCTAACTGTCAACTTTGCGGGGCAACTGAAAATTAGTCTTGCAGGAATTGCGAGTCTCAAGTCACTTCATATCACACAATGATGTGATGAGATAAGCAGGGTGGCAGCAAGCGTTATGCGAAACCCCATCTAGTATTTCTATCGCTGTAGAATGATACATACCACCATAATCTCACAGTTTTGACGTCATAGTTATAAATAGATAGAAACAGAACATCTTCGACTAATTACACCCACCACCAGAAGGTGGGTTAGCCTGACCTAAACCACTAAACGGACCTAAGCAACATGTCAAGGGAATGGCCGCAAGTAGGATAAGCTAACGAACCTAATCAAGGAAACAAGGAGCAGTTAAGTTTTGTATTTGATTGTATTCGGTGCTATAGTATAAGCTATTTAACCAATAGAACCCCCCCCCCCTCTTAATTTTTTTGCAAGGTTCTAGAATCTAATATGCCTTTAGGCTCCAATACCACGTTGGGTTTAGTATGTGATTATGCTTGGAGCTATTCAATATAGCTAAATAGTTCGAGTTAGTTGGTTAGACTTCGGCTAGTTGAGGATGGAGTAGAACTGGAACTGCTCTACATTGTAAAAGAGAGAGGCTTGGTAGAAGAAAATAGAGTGGTTAGTGGCTCTGCGATGTGAAGAGTTAAACTAGGAAATGAATCAGCAATCACGAGGAGTCGAGGGCAATGGGTTCTGGAAGTGCGTGCAGTCAAAGGGCAGGTATAGGATCGTGAGGGTATGGGAGTAGTCCTGGCCCACCCAACTTGTCCTTGGCTACTACATGGTCCATATCTTCAATTACCTTCCTCACTTCATTTGCAAGTTCTATGACCATGTCATCCTCATGGCCTGCATATCAAGATTCCCAAAACTCATCAAATAGGCATATAGACCAACAAAAGGCTTATAATTTTATATGCAAATTATGTTCCCCCTTTTGCATGCAGACAGAGGGTTATTACTGCAAGCACTAGAACAGAGATGAGAAAAACTCACCAATATCATACATGGCCTTTTCTAGAAGGAAAATATAGTCCCTGTTGTTTCCGCAAGGGCCACAAGCAGTTGCTATTTGCCTGAATGATCTCCAGATATTAGATAAACCAGAAAGAAAAGGATACCCTTTGCACATAAACGGCGGAAACTACTGCAATATACCTAGCCATGTCACCCAGTGGGGCAGATCCCAGGTAGAATTGGTTTGATTTGTCTGGTGTGGATGTGAATCTGGATTATAGAAATGAGTCTGTCAGTAAATTCGCATTCGGAACAGACCAATGGCGTGAGATTTTAACTGGGTCCAGTTGAAGATAAAGAAATAAAACTGAGAGGCAATGCTAAATAACTTACACCATCGCTCCAGTTAAAGCGGGGTGCAGTGTATCAGTTTCCTATAAAAGATCACAAATTAGCACCAGTTCTAATTTCTAAATCTAAATAATAATAATAATAATAATGTAGTTAAGAATTCATGATTGCTAAATTATTGAAAACCTCACCTTGTAGAAATCTACAAGAGTCTTCTGATCATATTCGCATTCCCTTTGCTCCAAATACTGCATCAAACAGCAGAATGTGAGAGAGGGGGGATGATGTTATGAGAGTAAATAACTGAATCAATTCATTAAAAAATGTTGACATTATCGTAATGCCTACAACCACATTTATTTCATGCGAGAAGATGAACAACCAAGAGTTCATTCTGGAGATTGCATCAATGAAAACAAATACCTGCATTGCCAATTTTTCCCTTTCAGGGCCTCCGCGAACACAATAAGCAGCACCCCACTGTAATGAGATCAAAGAGCTCATAAAAAGGGTGGGGGGGGAACAAAAGCCACTCTTAACCGTAGAGTAATATAATAGATCCTTACGCAACGAGCCCCTTCTTTCTCTTCCAATGCGCAAATCCTTGCAGGGTTTTTAGGTGTACCTCGGTGATCAATGCATGCTGCAGCAAGTAAATGACATGTCTAAGCAATGGTAAAAGCTGAATAAGATTATCATGACATGATAAATACCTTGAGAGCCTTACCTAGATCAAAGACACGTCTGTAGCCCTTTATGAAGCCAATGATTTTCTCATCATATTCAAATCCTGGGTTCCACACAAGTGAACCATAGCCAAAAACCCAAAACACCATGGCTGTAAACTTCTGAGGAAGAATCCACTGTCAATGAAACACAACTCACCAGCATGAATGAAGATAAATTTTATGCAGATGATAAGTACATTTGATCTTTCACGGGAACTGATTTAATTTAAAAGTAATTTGAATAAAAAGAAAATTTGCACTTCAGCATAAAAAGTCCCGACTCCACTCAAGCAGCGTTCAAACGCAAAATACAGACTTTCTACAACCCCGAATTCAGCTTCCAATTTCCACGGCACTTCAATCGAACTCCTTCCCTCGGCCACCAAGAGTAAAGGCATGTGAAGCAGTAACGTATACGACAAAACAAAACGCAAAGCAAATTGGTACTGTTCACAATAGCGCCTAAGCTAAAAAATTCATAGTCAAATAGGCTGACCGCACGAAAAGGGAAGGGAATGACTTGAGGTAAAGCATTAATTTTATATAAGCATTATAGGGGGAAACTCAACTAGTTGCTCAATCAGGTATTAGCTATTTTCCCTGACATGTTCACGCATAAAAATGGGGATTATTCCCCACATTTTTGCCGTCTTCTTCCTGCCCGTTAAGCGGTACAAAAATAGAATGAATAACCACCATTGCGTGCCTCCTTAGATACTGAATAACGCGATGCAGAAACAAACGGAAAACGAAGATGCAACATTTTAAAATAAAATTAAAAAAAAAACAGCGGATTCTTACCGGAAGAAAGAAAGTGCTAGAACAATCTCCGTTGGATCTAAAAGACTGGACGAGAGGTCGTGATGGCGAAAAAGAGAGAAACAATGAGCGGAATGCTAATCAATTAGGGTTTAGCTTGCAAGATTGGGTTGTGATTGTTTCCCTCTTCCCCTCTCTCTCCCCCCTTTGGATCGGTTGTTGCACGGACAGGTGATGAGGTGAGGCATTGGAGGGAGAGGGCTTTCGATTTAGTAGTGCGCCAAACGTGCCATGATTCATGCGACCTGCATGCCTTGCCTTGCTATATTGCATGTCACATCTAATGAAATCTAATACTATGTTTGCCCCCCAAAAAAAAAAAATCAGATCTAATAATCAATTAATCAATGATGTAATCATCCAACAGTTACTTCCTTCGGCACTTTTTATAAATCTTTGGCAAGTTTTTGGTGCTTTGTACAAGTTATTTTTTTCTTAATTTCTGTAAGCTTTGTCTACAATTGTAAAACTACCCTCCCTCGAATTCTAAAAAAAAATTATAATATTCTAATTTAAAAAAAAAACTTTTCCCACATAATAAATCACTCTTTTTAAAATGTAGGGACAAAATTAAGAAGTAACTTATTTTTAAAATAATTTTACTATTCTAATTAACTCATTTTAATTTTAGAAAGTTAATCAAAAGTAACTTAAAAAAAGGATCAGATAGATATAACCGAGTGTCATCTTAATAATTAATGATAATTAATTCAAATTCAGAATTGATAGCTAATTAGACTCTCTGTTTTTTTTTTTTTTTTGGGTGGGCGTCTGGGTGGCATGTTGGAGAGAATTCGAGACTAATTATACTATGCATGATAGGGAGAATGCATACTAATTATCTTACATTGATGATTTCCTATTCCTCCACGTCATTAGAAAATAGACAGATCTAGTGGTGCTGGCTTTGTATGATTCCTTTTTTTTTTTTTTTGCCCCCGGGGGAAATTGAATAATTGTGGAAATGCTAGCATTGAAGAAGGATGGACAGAGAGAATAGGAAGAAAGAAGTGATGTGGACTTGTCGCGTGCGATTCAATGTGGTGGCCACAGCCCGGGAGTGCATAAAGTCGGGGAAAAAAAACAAGAAGGAAGAAATTGATTTTGATTCATTGAACCTGGACATAAAGAGTTATATTACATTTGCGCTTGTCCAGGAGAATTGGAGCTTGGAGTTCAGGAATACTAAAACAGTGCAACAATGGTCAAGTTTCTTGGAGGGAATCGAATCAAGGTGTGAAAACGTGGAGAACATATGCTTAGCAGCAATGGAGAAAAGGAACAGACAAGGAGAATCGAGTTCCAGATAAGTTGGAATTCTTTCTTCCTTGGTTGAGAATATTTTGAGGTGACGGGCTGAGATAAGGAAGGTCCGAGACCAAGTATAGGAAGAGATGGGAATCGCCTCTTCGGGCAACTTCATGGGAGTTGATCACTGTTCACAACGGTCGAAGCTGAGAGTTGCAAGAAAGTTGGGGTCAGTTGCCAGCGCCCAGAGCACAAAAAGATTTCCCTGACAGTGATTCCTCGCACATGTTTGTTTGAGCATCTCAAAAATAATATGTAAAATCATCTACTCTAATGAAGATGTTGCTGCTAGAGATATTGCCTTTATGTGCATCCAACACATAATTTGTGGCCACGGCTTCTAAAAGAAATTTGACCACATGTCCTCTTGAGGTCAAATGCTCTATTTGGCATGTCGTGTTAGATGTTAAGAATTGAAATTGAGATAGAGTAGTCATATCTTTAACATGTTTAGTATAAATTATTCACTAAATCTTGAGATTACTTAGATCCATTTATATAAAAATACTCAAACCCATTACCCCCTTAGTATTATAAAATTAATCTTAAGATTGAAATTTTAATGACTAAAATATTCTCTTTAAAAAAATACCTAGATTGCTTGTGCTCCTCCTCTGTCAACCTCAACCTTGCAAATGTTGCAACAAGTTTGCCTACATGTAACTCCGGCACTAACACAAAGGAGGAGGAAGTCATTGAGATTGTTTCAACAAATGTGAAGGAGCAAAAATCAAAGAGAGACGCAGAGCATCAACAAAGAAGGAGATGGAAGAAGAAGAAAGATCGGAGTCAGAGATGTCATCGACTTCTTTAGATCTACCACATTCAAACTTGAAATTGAATAAAGTTTCAAAATTGGGTTCAGGTTGTTGAAGATGCTTTGCTTCGGCTTTTTAATATTTGCCACATTCCAACTCACTTTTGCATTCTTTGTATTTCAAGCATTCAAACTAAAACTGAAGTTGCGCTACCATGGTGATTTGTCCTGAGCTAGGTCACATTTTTTTAAGTGTAAGGGGTATTATAGTCTTTTCATAATTTATGTTTAATTATAAAATAAAATAGAAATAAGTATTCACTAAAAGTATTACTCTATGTCAAATATAATTTTAAAGTCTTGTCCTCACTCCCACCCCACTACCAATGCTAGCACTAGTGCCAATTCCAATTTCTTTAAATTGAAGCCTGCATAACAAACAGAGCTATAGATCACAAGCCAAGTGGTTTCATCAAGAAGTGAGCTGGGTTGGACTTGATCACATTGATGGACCTATAAACGCAAATGGTACTACTTATAATGGAATCATTTGCAATAATCAAGGTAACCAGGTTAAAAGTTTCTTGAATAATTGCTATTGAATTTTATGAATTCTTAAAGGCTTAAAACTTTGATGGGACAAGAAGTTTGCTAAAATTAATATTTTCTTATATTCACTTAAAGGTTAAAGCCATGTTACTCATTTAACATAACTTCTTAAATAACCATTCTCTTCACAATATTACTAACAGTATTTTGTTATGAAAGAACCGAACAATTATATTTAACTATACATTTAAAAAAACAATTAATTATGTTCATTCACTTGCTCGCCACATTATTAGCATCAACTCTGACACAAGAACTTTAGAATTTCTAGGGCCTGCATGCAAATCCTTTTGAATTTTAATATGAATAGATGTATTTTCTTGCATGATTTTCCATGACTTTATATTAAAATAAATAATAATAATTGCCACACTTGTCGCGTTTATATATAACTCAATTATTTGGGTACACGTGTTGTTTTCCTTCCCAACCCCCCCCCCCCCCAAAAAAAAAATTATATAGAGCAAGCAAGTGCTCATGAGATAAGGGCGGAGCCAAACGTATAACTTACCGCTACCAATTAAGAGTGCGTATCGTGCCATTAACCTTTGAGTACATTATCCATCTATTAGTCCGTTGGGAACTTTTAGTGTTAGTTAGGTTTTTTTTTTTTTTGGGCATGTGTATTCTTGCACTGTAGCCAATATTGTTTAGGGCATGGTGCACATTAAACGCAAATACTTTTTTTTAAGCAAAAATTTAAATCTTGGGAACTTTTCATTAATTATGAAATTTTATTAACCCAGTAAGCATAAATTATCTTAATTTGTTCATGATAAAATTGAGCAAATGAGATGGCACAGCACAACTACATCCTAAGAAGAACAAGAGAGTGGATGAAACTATCATTAACCGAAAAAGGATTAATTATGCTTACATTTTCATTGGAAGGATCCACACACATATGAATTAATTTATATCTAAACCAAATCTCTTATCTAGATTTATAAAAAAAAATTGAATGTGGAAAATGTTTTATTATAACTTTTTTTGTGATTTTTAATTCTTTAAAAACTATAATTATTTAAAACTTTAATTACATAAACGTCTCATTTTCTTCACATTTTTATTATTGATGCCTTCGTCACCCTTGCCTCTCATCTTGTCTCTTGTTCGTCCTCATCTCCTTCTCATTGGAAAATAGAGGTACTCGTCAATCTCAATTTTTTATTCCCATTTCAAACATTAGCTTGTTTCTATTCTCCCTTTAATTTTTTTACAATACACAAGCAAAAATAATTTAAGGGAGGATTGCAACAAAGTACCTTTCAAAATAATTAATTACAAATAAGAATTGACAACAAATCATTATTAAAAAAACAAGTCTTTAATATCATTTTAATAACAAATAATTTCATATTGATTTTTGCACATGAATAACTTTTTTCTGGAGGTCCTTACGTGTGATTCTCCCAAAATTTAAATACATAAATTTAAATCCATCAATCCACTGTTTAGTTGCCTAAGATTTGATTCATTGTTCGAGGTTACAAGCGTATGACTATTTTTTATAAATTAATTTACCTATTAATCCCATTATATTGGTCTTATTACAGGAAGATTTCAACTAGTCACACAAAAAAAAAAAAAAAAAACAGTTCCGTGGTCAAAACTGTCTTAAAGTACTTTAAGGCTTCAAGGCATAGGCCATAGGAGTGGGTTATTAAAGAAAATGTAGGAATAAAAATACCCAAGAAAATATCATAACGCCCATAACATCTGGTACATTATCAGTGCCAAACTCCTCTTTTTCAAGTAACTTAATAAAGTTTAAAACAAGGATACAACGAGTAAATAAAATATCCAAATATCATGCATTTATATCATTTAAAAAACCTAAAATACGTCGTTTTACAGTTGCGAAAAATCTAACTTTTGCCGTTTTACTGTTTTCCCCATAGTCGTTGGGCTGGTTGTATGCTTCGCGTTTGGGAAAGGCCTCCCCGGATCTGTAAAAGGGAGAAAAGCGGGAGGGAAAGGTTTTGCTTTTTTGCCTTTTTCAGTTCTTCGTATGCGCAAAGGGGAGCAAAACTTGTTGGTTTTTACTCATTTCCGTGCTAATTCAACTTCGCCATCGTTATGAGGATTTTTTATTCGATCGAAATATGTGAAGCTATTTTATCATTCGGTCTGAGCTAGAAATAGGAACAAATTGCGGTGAGGATGAATGAGGGGAAAAATGCATGTGAATCCCTTTCTGGTTCTCGATGCACACGATCTCGGGCAGCTCCAGATTGGACCTTAACGGAATCACTCATACTTGTCAACGAGATCGCTGCCGTCGAAGCGGATTGTTCGAGAGCCTTGTCCTCTTATCAACAATGGAAAATGATAGCTGAAAATTGTGCCGTTTTGGATGTTGGGCGGGGTTTGAATCAGTGCCGGACGAAGTGGAATTCCTTGCTTTCTGAGTATAACACGATCAAGGCCTGGGAGTCAAAGTCGCCTCGCAAGTCGTACTTGTCTTTAGAAGGCGAGAGGGCTAAGAAATTTGGGTTGCCTGAGAATTTTGACTGTGAATTGTTTAAGGCAATTGATGATCTTGTCAAAGCAAGAGATGAACGTTCGGGGGCTGACCCAGAAAGTGATCCAGAAGCAGAGTCCGAGGAGATTGATGACGATGTGACCAAAGAAATTGGTACGCTTCATCCATCTTGGACTAAGATCATTGTTGTTGAATTTCTGAGTTTCTTAGTCAAGGTCTTATTGCTTAATTGTCAGTCTTTGTATGTTGTTTTAGTAATGTTCATCAAAAGTAAAATCACCATGCATCAGATGGGCTTGTAATATCAATGACCCGTGCTCATTCAGTGCACAAAAGCTTGCATGTCAAAACACTCTTTTACTTAAGCCACGAAGCAATTATGGTCATAAAAAAGAACTTTTCATGCGGCATACTTGCTAAGATGTAATCCTTTTGCATTATAACCCTATAACAACTATGAAGAGAGCTTTCAAATTCTGGTTTACTTGAACACCTTGATTTCTCGAATGTGAATGACTACATGGTGTAAATGGTCAAACTCGAAATTCCATTTTTAATTATATTTTGAATGACTAAATTTAGTCTTGCTCCCTCAGGTCATTTGCAGGAAAAATTTTGCGCACAGATTTCTTTCTTTGCAGTAAAATCTTATTGACCTTAATGCCAGAAAAAAAAAAAAAAAAGGTCGAAAAACTGGCATTCCTTCTCTCATATGGTTTCTAGATCTAATAGGTGTGCTTCGATTTGTTAGGAAAGAATTGCGCACGTATGGAACTTAATAGTCCATCCAACTAACAACATTTGCATGTTAAAAGGATCATTTGATAAACAACTGCAGCTGATATGTGATAAGTTTAATTCTTGTTTCACAGTAGTCATTACTGATCGTTTTGACTTCTGTCATTTGTAAAGATTTTCCTAACGTGTTTTTATTTGACAAATGTGGAAAGAGTTATTGATGTAATTAATTGTGTCTTGTGGTGCCTCTTCATCATAGAGTTTCAACTTTATTCTTGTTCTTGTTTTAACAAACAGTGGTATATGTATGTTGGACGCCTTCATTATCATGTATGCCAGCTGATGAGCTGATCTTACTCTTTATTTGAAGAGCGAGCATTGAAATAAGGAACTTCTGTTGCCAACCTTATGTGTAGTTTCCTACTTTGGCTGGTTGCAGAAAGGCATGGTAGGATCCTTAGTTATTTAATTTTTCCTCTGTAGCTGTAGAGCCTGGCAAAGCTTTGAGGGCTTAGATCCGGCTTGTAACTAGTGCCAATACATCTTAAACCTAGTTATATGAATCTGATCAACCTGGGATATGCTACACTAGGCTACCTTATACGTATTTAAAAGCTCAGTTGACTGGGTTGTGCACATAAGCTGTTGCAAAAGATAATTTAGGCGTCATGAAAACCTACTATTAGAGTATGGATACATACGTGGTGAGGTAGTTTGTCTTAATTGAGTAAATTAATGAAACCAAGTATTAGTAAGTCGTCTTGTACCCAGTTGGATTCTTACCACTTACGTGTAGTAGTCTCATTATGGTTAGAAGTCAACATTGATGGGCTTTTATGAATTTGACAATTAGGGTCCAAAAGAAAAAGGCGATGGTTTAAATCCAAGAGGCATGCAGAAAAGCTTAAGAATTGCCTTTCTGAGGAACCTTTAGAACTCTCAAACCGAAGGCCTCAAGGAGGCCGTATTAAAGAAAGGCCTGAGAAAAGCCAGGAGCCCCAGAAAAATGATGTAGAAGAAGATTATTTGAAAGACTCGATAGGAGAGAAAGCTAATTTGAAATGTACACAAGAAAAACCTTCAAAGGTTGGCTTGGAAATGTCAGTGAAGAGCCGTGCCAAAGGAAAGCTTCAAGAAGCCCAAGTTAAGGAAAGGCCAAGCAAGACCTATACGACATCCGAAACAATTGGCAGTGAAGAAAATAATGAAGTGTTGTTGGCTCTGAAATTGCAAGAGTTGGCAGAACAAGTACAAGCCATTAGTACTGAAACAGCAGACTGTCGGACAGATTGCTTGCAGAATGTTGAGGCCTATCGAACTGAATTTTCAAGACTTCAGGGAGACAAGCTCATAGCAAGCCTCGGAGATTTTGCAGACACCCTTGAGCAACTATGCAATCTTATCCAAGAATGTAAATAAATATCACAGTTTGCTCTTTTAATTGTTCTATCTTGTTGTTATGTTTGTGAGCGGACGTTCTTCTATGGCATAGCCATATGCTTTGATTTAGTCTGATGAATCGATTTTACGCGTGAAAAAGATTCGCCAACCCTCTATCACGTATGCCAGTTGTGAATTGAAAGATTTTTGGATTTTCACAAAATGTTTATCCCGATATATAATCCTTGAGAAGTCAGACTGGAATAAGACTAGTTTGACTCATTTTTGCTCTCTGTATTTTTGCATTTTCTTTTTTAGCAATTCTTTCTCATTGTCTATATAATCCATTAATTATACCTTTTTAAATGAACCATTAGTTACCAAATCTCTCTCACGCTTTCATATTCCTGACTTATATCTGGGAGTGAAGACACAGACTGGGGGAGAGACAGTGATGACAGAGGAGAAGTTTGCTCCAGAAGTTTTTACTCTAAAGAGAAAATAATAACTGACAATTAAATAATAGGACCCACATCAGAAAGGGCATTTAGGGAAAAATAATGTAGGTGACCCACATAAGACAGGGCTATTAAGGGAAAAACATTGTAGATGAATAATATAATAGTAAAAGCTTGATGGACTTTATAATATGTAAGATTGTTTGTTTTTTCAAATAAAACATATTATGTCAAGTGAGGGGAAAGAATGGGTTAAGTGGCAATTTAGACGTTGAACTTATAGGCCTAACGATAATTTAAATTTTGAGTTGTATTTAATACATTTTAAACATTGAACAATTAAAATTGGGATAATCTGATCGTTGCCATTAGTTAAGAATTCACTTGATACATTTTAAACATTGAATAATTAAAATTGGGATAATTTGATCGTTGCCATTAGTTAAGAATTCACTTCCTCTCTCCCTACTTCTTTAGCCTTTCACGCGCACTCGCACGCGCCCGCGCAAGCGCGCGCGCACACACACACACACACTCTCTCTCTCTCTCTCTTACTCACTCACTCCCTCCCTCCCTCCCTACTTCTTTGGCCTTTCCTCTGTAGAGGGAACATTTATCTTCCTTGCCTCTCTCTCTCACACACACACAGAGACACAGATGGAACATTTATCTTCCTTGCCTCTCTCTCTCTCTCTCTCACACACACACACACACTCTCTCTCTCTTACTCTCTCACACACTCACTCACTCCCTCCCTCCCTCCCTCCCTGCCTACTTCTTTGGCCTTTCCTCTGTAGATGGAACATTTATCTTCGTTGCCTCTCCCCCCCCCACACACACACAGACACCGATGGAACATTTATCTTCCTTGCCTCTCTCTCTCTCTCTCTCTCACACACACACACAGACACAGATGGAACATTTATCTTCCTTGCCTCTCTCTCTCTCTCTCTCTCTCACACACACACACACATAGATGGAACATTTATCTTCCTTGCCTCTCTCTCACACACACACACGCACATGCACAAGCATGCACGCACGCGCGCGCGCGCACATGACATGGTATAAAGGGGACATCTTAGGAAGAAATGTAATATTTGAGCGAGTGATTGCAAAAATGGAGCAAGCCTGCGTAGATTGAAGAAGAAGAAGAAGCAAGGTTACTGGGAAGGATAGAAGAAGGAGAAGAAGCAAGATTATCGGAAAGGATGAAGATGGGGAAGTTGAAGACGCAGCAAAATGTTGTCCTGCTCATTTATTTGTGATACAGAATTGTGATTTGAAAATGTTAGAATAGTGGACAAGTTAAGAGTTAAGAGCGATAAGCTACATGCAAAGGATATCCTACTCAACAGAGGATGCCTTCTCCTGTAAAAATCCTTACTTAAACATAACTAATTTTCATAAACCACGATAGTCGAGGGGTATAACTCCAAAAGGATTACCAATTTTATACAATGATAAATGTAGGAATCCTAATTTTTCATAATTTAAAATACTCCAATGCTTAATTGTGCACAAATTAGAGTTTAAAGTATATGCGGAAGCATGCGATTTAAAACAAGTCAATGTATTCGCAAAATAATGAAAAACAACAAAAATAGTGCAATAGAGACCGATGGGTCGCAGCTTATGTTACATGCGCTACAGTACGTTATTTTCTGTGCCACGCATCGCGGTACATTGCATAATATTTGACAGCATAAAGCTGTCATGTGACAACTTTTGGGATGAACTTCTATGCATCTTATTCCTCTGTCTGACGTCTAATTAGGGTGATCTAAATATTTACAAAGAGCTTTTTTCTAACTCTAACTAATGGCACAAGTTTCACAATCAAATAGTTTTTCTATTAAAATTTAGACACCTTTTACAAAGCTAGAGCTAGTAATATAAACCAACTTGCAACTCGCAAGTTGGCCTGTTTGGGTCATGTGGTGTGGATTGGCATAACCTGCATCTTGACGAGTTGTGTTTCTACCTAACTGGCCAACTCATTGAGGGTTAGTGGGTTGGCGAGCTAACCCGCCAGTAAAATAATTTTTTTACAATTTTTTCCAATCTTAAAAATTATAAATTCATCTCTTTTCATTTTGTTTTGCAATAAAAAAAATCATATTTTCTTTTTAAAAATTAATTATTGAAATAATTATAAAATTCCTTCTAAATAATTAAAATTACAATCTCAAACTTGAAGATTCTTCTTAATTAATAATAATGTTAGAAACTTTGTTGAAAGTTGCAATAATATTAATTTGAGTTAATTTCTCTAAAGCTTTAATTTATAATTATTTCCCATAATTGGTATGGGTCCCAAAATTATTATCAAGTACTGATCTGTTCACTCTCTGGACATGAGTGAGACAAAACTTGAAGAGAGAATAACAACTAATAACCATTTAAAAATGCAGAATCTCACACACGCGCACGCACACGCACGCACACGCACACAACCTGTTAGGGCTTTTAGACTATCATGCAACTTTGCCAAATAAGAAGGAAAAAACAATAAAGTTAAAGAAAAAAAGAGACAATATGGAAGCTTTTTTATTTAAATTAATTTATAGATTTATATGGCAAAAGGATATAGACTGGAGGCAATGGCCTGTGTGACTTCGGAAGGAGAAAGATTGAAGTTTTGGTTACCAAGACTAAAGAAAAGGACTTGTGAGGATGCTAGAGTTTAGAATGAGGTGGGTTGTGACAGTGATAAGGCGACATTGATGACTCGTGAGGATTAAGAAGGAATAGAGGCAACTCTGAAGATGAAGAGTGAAACTAAATAAAGAGGTGAGGGTTTTGTTTTATGTCACTAAGGTCTAAGAAAAGTCATTTTTTTTAAGTTAAGTGGGCTAACCTACTAACCCACAGGTTAGCCCGTTGTGAGGTCAAGTTATGCGGGTGGGTCAATATTAAACTCGCATATAAATGAAACTACCTTTGCTAACCTGGCCCCCCACTATTTAGCGGGTTGAGCCTACAAGCTAAACTCATATTACCAGCTCTAAATAGAAGTTACTACTTTTTCATATAAATACACAACTAGGATGCCTAAATCATCACACAAATGCCAAAAGCCTATAGCAACCTCTAGACTACATTTAATGGACCGTACAGGACTCTTGCAACGCACTCTAGCCAAACAATTATACATAAACCATAATTTCCATACTCAACCCCTTGATTCACAAGAACATAAGGGGAATAATTTTGCAAGAATCCACGTGAATCATAATACTCATTCATCTATACTTTTCTCTACTTGTATTAGTATTTTAGCCTTATTTACTCATATCGCCTCATCACAAACCTAGAGCACAAAATACATACAAATCATTTTCAACCATAATGCAAGTAGTCAATGGATTATATGATATCTTAGTTAGCAAGTAACAATTCAAAATACATATAATAACTTTGAGGCCTACAAGTAGGATTATCTTTCAAATCTTAAGCCTTTAGACATTTTCCTGGTCTTAATTCAATGAGTTAAGCCTTATAATATTAAAGAATGAGGAGTGAGTACAATCACTCAGTAACTAAAGTCAATCTAATCTATACAATTACATATCAATTAATTTTAGATATAAATGACATTATAAACCTTTTTACAGCCAATATATACGTATATTTCAAAAGTTACATCAACCATAAAAAGGCTAACTATGTGGCTGAGCACAAATGCATATCATCACATATAATTACCAATGCACAACTGGAGTCATAATAATAACAATCATGTAGTCAGAAAAAAATATATAATCATTGCCAACCTTATACCCCCAATTACCTTTGATATGAAATTAGTGGATATCAAGTGGCTACATTTATAACTTGAACTAACCAATCTTTCCACTCATGAGGAGCTGCCTGGCCAAGGCTACCTCACTTACTTATGATCTGTAGTTTCCCCCAATATTGATAACTATGGGATGTTGTACCCATAACCTAACCTCCTCATGGATCGGTGGAGACTAGTTAGGTTCACTTCTCTTAAAAAATAAGTGAGACAATTTCTAATCAATCATGAGATAATGGTTATCTTCTAATTCCAATGGTTAGTATTGAGACAAGCTTTCGATTCCAACTGTAAGCTACTACTATCACGTGAATTTAATACTACTCCTCTCCCTAAATGAAACTCCTGTCAATGATCATGCCATGTTCATCAATATATAGTATACATTTGTGTTGACAATTACCACATCACATTATATATATATCACAAATCACTCCTATCATACTCCATATATCATCATACAATACATATCTTGTGATACTCACAATCACACACACACACATGTATATATGGATGTTTCTTAATCATTAGCTTTAATAACATGTATATAATTCATATCATTCTCTTAATTCTAGTACATTACTCATCCAAAAACACCGCTTGTTAAAATTTACATCAAATAAATTTCACAACATCCAATCAGTTTTCAAACATGATTTAAACAAATAATTAATTAACAAACAACTATATAAATTAGATTTTTTCTGGTTATCTCAAACCTTTAAGAGGTCAAAAGTTTACTTCTCAAAACAAAAACTTTTAAAGCTTTCCAAATAGCTTGAATGGTGCCAAGTTGTTTAGTCTACAATCTAAACATCAATATCCTTATTTGAATAATTTTCACATTTTAATCCACTTTTTAAACTCATATAAAATAAAATCCCCTATTTCTCATCATACTCATTAGGTTTGCAAGATTCCAAGAGCCTACATTGTCATTAATGAACTATTAAATCACCATTAATAACTTCAAAATAAATCCAACCTCCTCTATTAAATGCCATTTTTTTATCATTAATGACCCTTACCAATTAACAACTCTTAAAGGCATTAACACTACGTTTAGATAACCCCAATGACTCCCATTAATTATATTTTAGCCAATGGGCTTGAACCTACAACTCAAATGGACTGAAAATCATCATTTCAACTCAAACCTTAACTTAACTCTCTAAGAAAATGGAAGAGAAAGGGAGAGAAAAGGGATTTAGAAACCTTAACTTAGATATTTTCTAGCTTCAAAATGCTTCCAAACCTTTAAGGAAATAAGCCTTAACAAAGAAACCTCGGGTCTTTCATTTTCCTCTTCCTCTTTGATTTTTTGAACAAATATTCTTTTCAGAAAAATTGGTCATGCATCGCAGCGCATGCAACACATGTAACGATGCATGGCACAGAAAGGTCTCCTAATATCATCTGCCTTCTGTGCACTGTGACAAATGTGCTGCATGGCACAACATGTGGCATAGAGGCTTCCTCTCAAGTTTTTCTCACTTTTTGATGCCCAGATGGCTTAACTTCATTTTGAACCTAAATTTAAGGATGAAAACACAACAAAATATGCCCGTTAGTCCTCTTAAGTCACACACCTCATTAATTAACTGAACTATTCTACATTTACTTTGCTTAATTCGATCTTAGATTTTCAGGATGTTATATTTCTCTCTCCCCCTTTTCTTTCCAAAGAGTTACGTGCCATTCTCAGGTACATGCATGTCTTCAAAAACCAACTCCCCTAAATCATAGTCAATGGCAATTCTATTTCTCCAATCATAGCCAATGTTAATGTTGTTATATTGGGGGGGGGGAGGAGGGAGAGAATAGGAGAGAGTAGAAAGTGCAAAACATAAGCACAAAAGAAGATTGAGGATCTAGTTTAGGAGAGAGAAGGAGAGGAAGAGTGTGTGTGAGGAGGAACAAAAAGTTGTGTCCACATGTGATGAATACATGGCTCATGATTTAAAAAAATGGATGTTTAATCTAAATCAACGATGGGGATCAAATTGCTACAATTTTATTTATTCAAGATTTAAAATATAATAAATTCGAGTTCAGGATTCAAAATATCTCTAGATTTATAATTCAGAGACCAAATTACAAATTAATTTGAAAAAATCCAACTATCAATAAGGATCCGAGACCAAGATGCTGTTTACTTTCTCATCCCAAAAAGCCTTGCATCAAATGGCGGATTTCCCAGCCTTGCATGGCAGAAGTGTAAATTGTTAAAAAAAAAAAAAGAAAAAAAAGAGAAAACCGTTCGACTCCACTGGGGATCGAACCCAGAATCTCTGGTTCCGTAGACCAGCGCCTTATCCATTGGGCCATGGAGTCAATTGATGGAAAGGCCAATTTAAATAATTAATATCTTCTTTAACAACATCATAGCTTCTCCTCCTCAGCCCTGAAAAGACAGGCAAAAGGTTGCATCATGGGCGTAGGTGGTGATAATTGAATTCCTCATGGTATCAATTTACAAGTTTATATTATGAACGGAGATTTTTAATGGTTAAGTGATCATTATTGAATCCAAGAGTGCAGGGTTTCTTTCCCTTCTTCTGAGAGAACCTGAGAAGGGGTAAATCGCAATGGATTCTTCCGGTAAACGCAGAGAAGCATCACAGGGATTTTAGATATGCATGGCTGATAAGTAAGCAAATGAGAAGGGAAATACGCGCTGTCCAAAACAAAAAAAAGGACAAAGGAAATACATATAACATATGCGAGAATGAAATTATACGTCGGGGAAATGAGAAGTCGCAAGGTACATCTGCTATTTTTCAAGTACGAACTTACTATTATTGTAGTTTTCAATTCTCAATTTTATTGGAGATGGGCTTAACAATATATATATATATATATATATATATATATATCTGGTCAAGTTTAACAGACAATTTTAATACACGTTGAATGTTACAACTCCTGCAAAAATTAAAGCACCGAATTTATACAACATCCCTCAACCTGCCGAAGTTTCAAGTTAAAACTTTCAAACTAGCAAAGCTATGATGGTCTATTTCAAACGAAGCTTTTCTGCTGCTGCTGCTTCTTACAAGTACGGCTTCGTTCTGGGCTAACACATTTAGTCATAAAACAACCACCTTACTCAGAATCCAGAGCACCAGAGAAAACTCAAAGGCAAACAGAGTATGGAGCAATCCTCGATCCAGTGCGAACCCAAACAGCGTTATCCCGCCGTTATTGTGCTGCAAATACGACACTGCATTCAATCCATCAAACACAACATGTATGTAATATAAGTCCTCATGACATGAAGCATCAACATCCTCAAGCTTTATGAACAAGCAGAGGAGAACACTCACCTAAAGCTTGTCTGGTTTGAAAGGCGGAAGAGGGTTGTTGAGCGGTTACTGATATGTATATGTCGGAGGAATCAGAATCACTCTCATTTCCCAATCCTTCTGGCGTCTGAGATTTCCATTGATGATCAGTTTCTGATTCTGCACATGACTTTGTGACTAGCATGTGCCATCTGGTCGCAACCGCCACTATCCCTTGGGCTCTGTGTGTGATCCTCGCAGCACCCAGTAGACACAAGAAGCACCCACATAATTGCACCCCCGAACATATCTGCATTTTCTCATTATTTCTCGATTACTTATCAACATAATCGACCAGTCATTGTGGCAGAGAGTGCTTGCTTATATAGTTACTTACCACGAGGTCACCAGAATTGAAGAAGGTCATGACGGATTTGGAAGCTAAAATCAGAAAGAGAGATCCCAACTGACTAACTGTTATAGTGACCAAACACACAATTATGAAGAACCTGTATCTATGGCTTGTGACAGAGAGCTGTTTTCTGATCTTGACATGTTCACAGAATATCACATTTGCATCAGACCCACAACCTTCGAATAACTTATGAACTCCTTCGAATCTTAGTATCTGAAGCTCGCAGGTTAGCCGAAACAGCACGCACACCAACAAGAACACCCCTGTTCTGTAAACCCACGAAACCAACACTAGCAAGAACACAATGGAATTCAGGGGAAACCCAGGGCTTATATGCGGGACAGACACTTTCACTGTAGAGAAAAATATGATCTTGTGGGCAAGCTCTACGAAGAAGGACGGTAAGATTATGGCGGCCAAGTATCTGAAGGCCTTCTCCAGCTCTCGTGTGTACCCTCGTCGAACGTACGTAGAGTCGTCCTGCAAAATGTCTAAGAACAGAAGCTGCCTGAGCCCGTACCTGTGGAAGAATCGGGAAAGAGTGAAGAAGGACATAATGGCGAGGCAGGATTCTGGTAACTGAACAAGCTTGTTGAAAGACAGTGGGTCGTCCTCGGTGGCGGATGCAGGGACTTGAACGAAGAGGGAGGTGAGGATAGGGACGACGATGGCGAGAAGCACGAACAGGACGTAGGAGATGATCTTGCCGACGCTGGAAGAATGATCAAGAGCACACCATTTGAGGCTTATCCGAAAGTTTCGGAGTTCGTCAAAGATGATAGACTTGGACCTCGCATAAGATGGCTGCAAAAGCAGAGGAACATTATTCGGCTGGCATTGATCGGCAAAGGACACGCGCCTGCCGGAGCAATCCACGTCGGTGGCGGTGCTGACGGTGGAGTCCATATAGTGTGGTCTATGGTAATGGAAGGGAAAGAGAGTGAGAGACAGAGGAATTGGAAGTTCTCTGTTGATTTATACAAATGTGAGTGGAGCAAAATGGAGATAAAAGAGGAGTGAGGAAGGTGAAACCCAAATAAAAAAAGTAGAAACCTTGCTTTGTCTCGTGAGAGTTGTGTTTGCCTTGAAGGGGAGGTTTTCATGAAAGCCAAGAATAAAGCTGAGTTGTCAAATTTGCTTATGTGTTTGGCGTTGCCTTCGTCACTTGCACGTCCCTCTCATATTCTTTTCTCCGCTGCTTATTGGACCATATGTATGTGCTTGAAGTATAACTATTCCCTTTGCTGTTAAAATATATTTTTTATCATTTATTTTTATATAAACTTTCGTCTTAATTTTTTAACTTTATAAAGTTTTTTTAATCTTTTAGCCCTATTTTAAATGATTATTTTTATATTAATTATTATTACTTTTTAAAAATTAAACTTAATATGTGTAACACACCAAAATTTTTTTTTAAAATAATTTAACTCAACCATAGTTGGGTTACAGCCACCCAACACATTTTTATATCAATAATTTCAATATAAAATATTTTATAATTGGCTTCAACTCACACACTATAACATTTCAGATAAATTTTTACCTCCCACATGCCATTAGGCTAAATCACATTTGTCCATCCTTATACTCCCAACAAGTAAACTAAATCACATTTGTCCATCCTTATACTCCCAACAAGTAAAATAAGCAATTTAGTCAATTTCAACACAAGCCAGTTATTTGGCCTTATAATCATGTCATTTTAACCAATCCAAAGTAAACCAAATATTAAAATTACAGTCATCCAAATTGTACCAAAAATAGAAATAGTTTGAAAGGCATGATTACATTTATATATTCATATAATTGACAATAAACAAAAAGCCCTAATATTGGCAATATAACACATTATAAATCATAAATTAAATACTCAAAAGAGACAGTGGATCTATACCACTAAGCCTCTGGGACTCCTCCACGTGTCACTCGTGGCTCTTCTCCTGAAAATTGTTAACCATATAATGAGACTCAAAAGTCCCAGTAACCAAAGCCAATTTATGATAGTGTATACAAACAGTTAAGTGTGTGCTTACTAAGTGAGAATTAAAAATAATATAATTCCAACAAATATAAGAAATATTACAATACACACAAACAACCATCCTTATATCCCTCCATTAACCTCGAGCCGTAGCCCTCACTCGGTGCTAAATTACCCGGCCAAAGGTAGATTAGCCCGAGCCCTTACAAACCACCTATTGAGCTCCAATAGGGGCATACCACGTGGCACATAAATACAACAATAATAGCAAGTCTCCCAACACCTCCCACAATAAATAAACAAATTCATAATAATATTGCACAATTATACAATATTACAAAATTCATAATTTTCTCAATAATCACCCAATTAACATGAAGTAACACTAATCACAAATTAAAAGCATGGTTACCTTGTGGCTCTTTCAATAAATTATTCCTTAAAATTTCTCTCTCACCACAATCTTCACCAGTAATACAATCTACAAATAACATATTATTTATAAATATTAGTTTCAATTTTTGAAACTAATAAAATAATTCTAATAATAGAATTAAAAATATAACATAATTCCTAATCTCAATCTTAATACAAATCTATAGTTAATACTATTAAGTAAAATTTTTAACTCCTCTTTTAATTATCAATAAACATTAATAATCTAAAAATCAACTTCAAAATTAATTTCTATTATCAAAATTTTCTTTTTATTTTATAAATTCGCACCTAAAATACTCAAAAATTAAAAATTAAGTCTCTAGTTTAGAATCATAATCCTATAACCATAATAATTCATTTCTCATCCCAAATAATCATCTAAACCTCAATAAATCAACATATATTTTCAGATCTAGTTTAAAATTGATCCATAAGCCACAGATTCAAAGATCATCAATAAATTTATACTCTAGAACATTTATTATACTACTGACAACCTCAAAAATCATATTTATTCAACATAAATTCATCCCTCTTCCAGATCTTAAATTTTCTACCACTACAAAATCAGAAACAAAGAAGAAAGATGACTAAGAAAAATTTTTAGAACACTTACTTAGTCTTGAAAAGCTTAAAATCACACCCTAAATATCCTATTAAAAACTCTTACCTTAAAAATTTAGATATTTCGCACCGGCAACTCGCTTCTCTCCGCCTCAGCTCGCGCGCGAAGGAATTGAAGAAATGAAAGGAAACGGGTGAGTTTTATAAAAATTCAGTGGGTCCCACATTTTTTTAATTATTTTCTCTCTCTTCTTCTTCTTTTCTTTTTATTATTATTTTATTATTTTACTGTTGAGGCGGCGGACGAAGCAAATTCGTTTTCTTCTTCTTCTTCCTTTCTTTCCTTTCTTTCTTTTTATTATTATAATAATAATAATTTAATAATATTTTATTTTTTTATTTATTATTATTTTTTATTTATTTTATTTATTTTTTATTTTTTTTTTGCATACCTTTTTTTTATAATAATAATTTAATAATACTTTCAAAATTTTTATTAACCCAAATTAACTATTAAAATTTAAATTGGGATGTTACAATTCTCCCCTCCTTTTAGAAATTTTGTCCTCAAAATTTAAAATTAATAACTATTAACTACTCACTTAATCAAAAAGACGAGGATAATCACGTCGCATACTGTCCTCGGTCTCCCACGTAGCATCACCTGGAGTTGTGCTCTTCCAGATTACTTTAACCAATCTAATGGTCTTGTTTCTTAATTGCTTGTCCTTATAATCCACAATCCTTTCTGGTTCAGTTTTGAATGTTAAATTCTCCCTGAGTTCAATTTCCTCGGGTTCAATTATATGGGAAGGATCTGGTTGATACTTTTTCAGTTGTGACACATGGAATACGTTGTGTATTCCAGCAATTTGGGGTGGTAATGCTACTTGGTACGCTACTGGTCCAACTCGTTTTAAGATCTCAAAAGGCCCCATAAACCTTGGTGTCAACTTCTTAGCCTTAATAGCTCTTCCAACACCAGTTACTGGAGAGATTTTCAAAAATACATGGTCACCTACTTCAAACTCAAGCAGGTCTTCTCCTCTTATCCGCATAACTCTTTTGTCTACTTTGAGCTGTGAGTAATTTTTGCTTGATTAAAGCAATCTTTTGGGTAGTCTCATCAACAATGTCTGGCCCCAAAACAGTTCTCTCACTTAATTCTGTCCAACACAGTGGCGATCTACATTTTCTTCCATACAATGCCTCATAAGGTGCCATCTGAATGCTAGAATGAAACTATTATTGTAGGCAAATTCAGCTAATGGTAAGTGACTATCCCAATTACCTCTAAGCTCAATGGCACACGCTCTTAACATGTCTTCAAGAGTTTGTATGGTTCGTTCCGTTTGCCCATCGGTCTGGGGTGGTAAGCTGTGCTAAAACTCAGACGAGTACCCATGGCTTCCTGTAATGACTTCCAAAAGTTTGATGTGAATCTCGGATCACGATCAGATACAATATTTGTCGGCACTCCATGCAATCTCACCACTTCTCTTATGTAGATTTCAGTTAATTTTTCGAGAGAATACTTGATATTAGTAGCAAGAAAATGAGCTGATTTGGTGAGTCGATCTACGATTACCCATATAGTGTCATGACCAGAAGATGTTCTAGGCAATCCTGTAATGAAGTCCATAGAAATGCTGTCCCATTTCCACTCTGGAATATCAAGAGACTGTAGCATCCCGGCTGGTTTCTGATGCTCAATTTTGACTTTCTGACAAGTCAAACAACGAGTTACATGTTCAGTTACATCTCTCTTCATCCTTGGCCACCACCAACCACGTCTTAAGTCATGATACATCTTAGTTGCTCCTGGGTGAATGGTATATTTACTCTGATGAGCCTCCTCAAGTAAGATATTTTTCAATCGAGTATCATTAGGCACACACACTCTACCTTTATATCTTACGACATCATCATCGGTCACATCAAAATGTTCAGCCTTTCCAGCCCCAATCTCTACCCTAATCTTATTCAAATAATCGTCCTTCTGCTGCAAATTCTGATTTCTTCCCAAAAATTATTCTCAAATTCAGTAATATGTAGAGCAGCCAAACGATTTTCGACTACTTCTACATTTACTGCATGAAAACTACTCCATAATTCATGTTCTCTGACCATCATGTGAGCAGTATGTACAAGTTTCCTGCTCAGAGCGTCGGCGACTACGTTAGCTTTCCCTGGATGATACTTCAACTCAAAGTCATAATCCTTCAAAAACTCATCCATCTGCGCTGTCTCATGTTGAGCTCCTTTTGATCAAACAAATATTTTAAACTTTTATGATCACTGAAGACTTCAAAAGAAGAACCATAAAGATAGTGCCTCCAAATCTTCAAGGCAAAACTACAGCAGCAAGTTCCAAGTCATGAGTAGGGTAATTTTCCTCATGAGGTCTCAACTGTCGAGAGGCATAAGCCACTACTCGATCCTCCTGCATCAATACACAACCTAAACCTTTCTTAGAAGCATCAGTATACAAGGTATAAGGAGAAGTTGGAACAGGTAAGGTGAGCACCGGTGTGGTGGTCAACCTCTTTTTCAGCTCCTGGAATGCAATTTCACACTCGTTTGTCCAAATAAATGGAGCATCTTTCCTCGTCAACTTAGTCAAGGGCATTGCAATTTGTGAAAAACCCTTAATGAAACGACGATAGTAGCTGCCTGCAAGACCTAAGAAACTCCTAATCTCTGTCACACTTCGAGGTTGCTCCCATTTCATCACTGCATCTATCTTACTAGGGTCCACCGCTACCCCTTCTTCTGAAACAACATGGCCTAAGAATTTAACTTCTTTAAGCCAAAAATCACATTTGCTCAACTTGGCATAGAGCTTGTGCTCTCTTAATATCTCCAAAACAATTTTAAGATGTCTAGCATGGTCCACCTCATCTCGAGAATAAATAAGTATGTCATCAATAAAGACTACAACAAATTCATCGAGATAAGGCCTGAAGATTCGATTCATATAATCCATGAAGACAGCTGGGGCATTTGTTAACCCAACGGCATCACTAGAACTCATAGTGCCCATATCTAGTCCTAAAAGCAGT